TTGACTTTACCTGCGTTTCTGCACTGCCAACTGCCACCCTGCTCTGTCCTCCTGGAGCTGGCTTTCGTTCTGCACAGCTTCGGTCTAAGCTGGAGTCCAAGGACCCTGTCGCAGGGCTAAAACACCATGGCAGTGAAGGACGGATCGGGCCCGCGGCCAACAGCCCATACTGCCAAACGTCGCTTTCTGAACTGCCTAGAAACTAGCTTTCTGAACAGCCTAGAAACTAGCCTCAAACCTTGCTGTTTCCTGCTGTCAGCTCGGATCCAAGACTTTCTGAATCGACTAGAAACTAGCTCCAAACCTTGACTTTACCTGCGTTTCTGCACTGCCAACTGCCACCTTGCTCGCCTCCTGGAGCTGGCTTTCGTTCTGCACAGCTTCGGTCCAAGCTGGAGTCCAAGGACTCTGTCGCAGGGCTAAAACACCATGGCAGTGAAGGACGGATTGGGCCCGCGGCCCGTACCCCGGAGTGCCAAACGTTACTTTCTGAATCGACTAGAAACTAGCTCCAAACCTTGACTTTACCTGCGTTTCTGCACTGCCAACTGCCACCTTGCTCGCCTCCTGGAGCTGGCTTTCTTTCTGCACAGCTTCGGTCCAAGCTGGAGTCCAAGGACCCTGTCGCAGGGCTAAAACACCATGGCAGTGAAGGACGGATTGGGCCCGCGGCCCGTACCCAGACTGCCAAACGTTACTTTCTGAACCGACTAGAAACTAGCTCCAAACCTTGACTTTACCTGCGTTTCTGCACTGCCAAAACCTTGATTTTACCTGCGTTTCTGCACTGCCAACTGCCACCTGCTCGTGTCCTCCTGGAGCTGGCTTTCGTTCTGCACAGCTTCGGTCCAAGCTGGAGTCCAAGGACCCTGTCGCAGGGCTAAAACACCATGGCAGTGAAGGACGGATTGGGCCCGCGGCCCGTAGCCCAGACTGCCAAACGTTACTTTCTGAACGACTAGAAACTAGCTCCAAACCTTGACTTTACCTGCGTTTGCACTGCCAACTGCCACCCTGCTCGTGTCCTCCTGGAGCTGGCTTTCGTTCTGCCAGCTTCGGTCCAAGCTGGAGTCCAAGGACCCTGTCGCAGGGCTAAAACACCATGGCAGTGAAGGACGGATTGGGCCCGCGGCCCGTAGCCCAGACTGCCAAACGTTACTTTCTGAACGACTAGAAACTAGCTCCAAACCTTGACTTTACCTGCGTTTCTGCACTGCCAACTGCCACCTTGCTCGCCTCCTGGAGCTGGCTTTCGTTCTGCACAGCTTCGGTCCAAGCTGGAGTCCAAGGACCCTGTCGCAGGGCTAAAACACCATGGCAGTGAAGGACGGATTGGGCCCGCGGCCCGTAGCCCAGAGTGCCAAACGTTACTTTCTGAACCGACTAGAAACTAGCTCCAAACCTTGACTTTACCTGCGTTTCTGCACTGCCAAAACCTTGATTTTACCTGCGTTTCTGCACTGCCAACTGCCACCTTGCTCGCCTCCTGGAGCTGGCTTTCGTTCTGCACACTTCGGTCCAAGCTGGAGTCCAAGGACCCTGTCGCAGGGCTAAAACACCATGGCAGTGAAGGACGGATTGGGCCCGCGGCCCGTACCCCGGAGTGCCAAACGTTACTTTCTGAATCGACTAGAAACTAGCTCCAAACCTTGACTTTACCTGCGTTTCTGCACTGCCAAAACCTTGATTTTACCTGCGTTTCTGCACTGCCAACTGCCACCTTGCTCGTGTCCTCCTGGAGCTGGCTTTCGTTCTGCACAGCTTCGGTCCAAGCTGGAGTCCGTCGCAGGGCTAAAACACCATGGCAGTGAAGGACGGATTGGGCCCGCGGCCCGTACCCCGGAGTGCCAAACGTTACTTTCTGAATCGACTAGAAACTAGCTCCAAACCTTGACTTTACCTGCGTTTCTGCACTGCATACTGCCACCTTGCTCGTGTCTTCCTGGAGCTGGCTTTCGTTCTGCACAGCTTCGGTCCAAGCTGGAGTCCAAGGACCCTGTCGCAGGGCTAACACACCATGGCAGTGAAGGACGGATTGGGCCCGCGGCCCGTACCCCGGAGTGCCAAACGTTACTTTCTGAATCGACTAGAAACTACCAAACGTTACTTTCTGAATCGACTAGAAACTAGCTCCAAACCTTGACTTTACCTGCGTTTCTGCACTGCCAACTGCCACCTTGCTCGCCTCCTGGAGCTGGCTTTCTTTCTGCACAGCTTCGGTCCAAGCTGGAATCCAAGGACCCTGTCGCAGGGCTAAAACACCATGGCAGTGAAGGACGGATTGGGCCCGCGGCCCGTACCCCGGAGTGCCAAACGTTACTTTCTGAATCGGCTAGAAACTAGCTCCAAACCTTGACTTTACCTGCGTTTCTGCACTGCCAAAACCTTGACTTTACCTGCGTTTCTGCACTGCCAACTGCCACCCTGCTCTGTCCTCCTGGAGCTGGCTTTCGTTCTGCACAGCTTCGGTCCAAGCTGGAGTCCAAGGACCCTGTCGCAGGGCTAAAACACCATGGCAGTGAAGGACGGATTGGGCCCGCGGCCCGTACCCCGGAGTGCCAAACGTTACTTTCTGAATCGACTAGAAACTAGCTCCAAACCTTGACTTTACCTGCGTTTCTGCACTGCCAAAACCTTGACTTTACCTGCGTTTCTGCACTGCCAACTGCCACCCTCCTCTGTCCTCCTGGAGCTGGCTTTCGTTCTGCACAGCTTCGGTCTAAGCTGGAGTCCAAGGACCCTGTCGCAGGGCTAAAACACCATGGCAGTGAAGGACGGATCGGGCCCGCGGCCGACAGCCCATACTGCCAAACGTCGCTTTCTGAACTGCCCAGAAACTAGCTTTCTGAACAGCCTAGAAACTAGCTTCAAACCTTGCTGTTTCCTGCCGTCAGCTCGGATCCAAGACTTTCTGAATCGACTAGAAACTAGCTCCAAACCTTGACTTTACCTGCGTTTCTGCACTGCCAACTGCCACCTTGCTCGTGTCCTCCTGGAGCTGGCTTTCGTTCTGCACAGCTTCGGTCCAAGCTGGAATCCAAGGACCCTGTCGCAGGGCTAAAACACCATGGCAGTGAAGGACGGATTGGGCCCGCGGCCCGTACCCCGGAGTGCCAAACGTTACTTTCTGAATCGACTAGAAACTAGCTCCAAACCTTGACTTTACCTGCGTTTCTGCACTGCCAAAACCTTGATTTTACCTGCGTTTCTGCACTGCCAACTGCCACCTTGCTCGTGTCCTCCTGGAGCTGGCTTTCGTTCTGCACACCTCGGTCCAAGCTGGAGTCCAAGGACCCTGTCGCAGGGCTAAAACACCATGGCAGTGAAGGACGGATTGGGCCCGCGGCCCGTACCCCGGAGTGCCAAACGTTACTTTCTGAATCGACTAGAAACTAGCTCCAAACCTTGACTTTACCTGCGTTTCTGCACTGCCAACTGCCACCTTGCTCGCCTCCTGGAGCTGGCTTTCTTTCTGCACAGCTTCGGTCCAAGCTGGAGTCCAAGGACCCTGTCTCTTCGCCCCCTCTGGCATCTTGTTGCTAGTAAGGCCTCCTCTGACGCGCTCCCCCTGCTGACGGCAGGGGTCGGCGGATATAGTTGAATGGTGGAATCCACAATCTTCCATTGTTTCGAGCTAGCTCAAAACATGTAGCTGGCTCAATTTCATCAGGGGTATGTTTTGACAGTCAGCTTGCGCTTTTTCAGAGGTACCATATCTAGTACTAAAGTAATCGGTGGGGACTGAACCTGGCAATTTAACACATTGGGAAGTTTCTGCGAGCTCGCTCAACTGCAACGAGCTGGCTCAGCACCATCGAGCTCGCTCAAACACATCGCTCTAGCTCAGGGGCATCGAGCTAGCTCAATGGCATCGAGCTGGCTCAATTTTTTCAACGAAAAAAAAAAACACCAAAAAAATTGAGCCAGCTACGTCACGTTGAGCTGGCGGACGAATGTGAGAGCATCAAAACGAATACTAACTATGTATTGGCCGGGTTCATGACGCATTGGCGAGCCGGCTCAAGGGCATGTAGCCGGCTCAATTTCTGCGAGGTTTTTTTTCTTTTTTTTTCGCTAAAAAAATTGAGCCAGCTACGTGGCGCTGAGCCAGCTACGAGGCGCTGAGCCAGCTACGTGGCATTGAGCCAGCTACGTGGCACTGAGCCAGCTACGTGGCACTGAGCCAGCAAGGTAGCTTTGAGCTTTGAGCTAGCAAGGAGGCAGTGAGCCAGCAAGGTAGCTTTGAGCTTCATCATATATATATATATACTAAACCTATGCAATCCCAACCATATAATATACTAAATCTAGGGCAAAACAGTTTTTTTGAGGGAGACACGTACCTTTGAGCTGGAGCGGGAATGTGGAATCTACCATTCGATATAGACTATCTTAGTATTGAAATCCATGGTGACTTGGGGCCCCTCCATTTAAGGAACCTCCAAACATATCCAAAAGTCCCAAATATGTTAGTTATCACTTACCCTCCAGTAAATTAACGTAGACCCTGGCAGTTCTCGGGGTTGCAAGATTAGTTTCCATTAAACAATGGTGATTTTCAGGGTCGAACTGTTAATTTACTGGAGGGTATCACATTTCATCATTTCATCCCCATTGCTAGGTAAATCCCAATGAAACCCTATTAAAACCCTATTAAATCCCATTCAAACCCATATAAATCACCCCAAAATCTGGTAGGATCACAGCTTCTCCCTATTAAACCCTATTAAACCCCATTAAAACCCATATAAATCACCCCAAAATCTGGTAGGATCACAGCTTCTCCCTATTAAAACCCTATTAAATCCCATTAAAACCCATATAAATCACCCAAAAATATGGTAGGATCACAGCTTCTCCCTATTAAAACCCTATTAAATCCCATATAAATCTCCATTTTCCCATGGTTTTCCCTATTAAATCCCTATTAAATCCCATTAAACCCCGACCAATCCTGGTTGATTCCCTGGGCCAATTTTTTTTTCGGCCGATTCTCCCAGGTTGGGCCATTGATTGTGCGCCTCAGGTGGCCCGTGGTTCTGGGGGGATGGCTTGTTATTATAGTTATATCACTATGGTTATAACCATGAAAAAATTAATATATTAATGGCGTAATGTTAATGGGAAAAACCATAACTACAATGGCGTAATGTTATCACTATAGTTATAAACATAACTATGGGAAAAAACATGACCATGTTAATTAATTAATATGGTTATAACCATTATATATGATTAATTCATATGTTTATAACACTATAATGACATGTTATTAATATATCATGACATAAATATATCATGAAAAAATATAGCCATAATGATATAACTATAGTTATTATAGTGATATAAACTATGGTTATTGATATAATGGTTATAAACATATTAATTAACATTAGTTAACATGAAAAAAATAATGACCATGTTAATTTTCATATGTTTATAACCATTATATATATATTAATACACCAACTTGTTATTTGATGTTATTTGATGTTATTTGCAGCAACTTAGCTATTTAGCTGTAGCTTCATGTAGCTTCTGCCTGGTTTTTTCCTGAGAGCCCACTTGTCACTTGTCACTTGTTTATTGCACATGATCTTTTCTTTCTGACCTTTTTTTGTGGGAGAGTTTCCTTACGTGGTTGGATTTCCAAGAGTGCCAGATGATATGCTTGCAATATAGACAATGCAGAAAAGGGTCCGACATAGTAGCTAGGAAGGGTGGGTTTATATCTACCATGTCACTAGGATTTATGATTTATTGTGGATACATCGAACTATAATCATCCTGAAGTAGATAGAACATAGGATTTTCAAACATATTATCATATTCCCATATTGTTTTTTGGCTTTTGAAACTTCAGTCTATCTCCAGGATGACTATAGTTAGATGATGTTAGATGATGTTAGATGATGTTAGATGATGTTAGATGATGTTAGATGATGTTAGATGATGTTAGAGCTAAGCTGGTGCAAATAACTTGCAAATAACAATAGATAACAAGTTGGTGTATATATAATATTAACTTACAACGAGTGGGCCTTCCTAGATGGCAATTTGAGCAGTGCCTTGTCGACACGTCGATCTATTGAGTTCCCAGCCCCTCCTGCTGTGAAGATCCGGGAAATTTAGAGCGAATAGAATGTGAATATATGTCACAACTGGCACTACTGGGATATATATATATATATGATTATGTATATATATATATACATGTATAGTTATGTATATATATATATAATAATTATATATATATAATATATATATATATATATATAATATTGGAAAAGATGTGGGAAAGGCCCCTTGCAGTAGCCATAACTTTCCAGTGATCGTCACAGTATCCAGGATAAGCCGCCAGCACAGTCCCAGGCGTTACGTGACGACGAAAATTTCAAAGAGGAGGTGGTGTCAACCATGAGAAAATCCCGGGGAAAATCCATCGAATATGGGATTCATAAAGTCATAACGAGAGATTTTTTGGGTTGGAATCCCATAGAAATGCTGATGACTTGGGCCAATGGGGATGTTTTTTTTTTCCCCCACCTGCCAGGTGAGGGTTGTTAGATTTTATGTCAGTTGCCTCCTCCTCCTTCTCCTCCTCCTCCTTCTCCTCCTCCTCCTCTGCCTCCTCCTGCCTCGTCCTCCTCTCCTCCTCCTCCTCGTCCTCCTCGTCGTCCTCGTCGTCCTCGTCGTCCTCGTCGTCCTTGCTCAACTGCGACCCGCGATCCACAGTGTTCTCTGCCGGACCTCAACCACGACCATCCACGCCCAGTGTTCCCTGCCGGACCTCAACCACGACCATCCACGCCCAATGTTCCTTGCCGGACCTCAACCACGACCATCCTCGCCCAGTGTTCCCTGCCGGACCTCAACCACGACCATCCACGCCCAGTGTTCCCTGCCGGACCTCAACCGCGAGTAACCACGCCAAGTGTTCCCTGCCGGACCTCATGTAGGAAGATATGGGACAAAGAATGTGCAGAAGAAAGTTAGAAAGAATGTCAGAAAGAATGTCAGAAGATATGCCAGAAGATATGCCAGAAGATATGCCAGATAGAATGCCAGATAATATGCCAGAAGATATGCCAGATAGAATGCCAGATAGAATGGCAGAAGATTTGCCAGATAGAATGCCAGAAAATATGCCAGAAGATATGCCAGATAGATATGTCAGAAGATATGCCAGAAGATATGCCAGAAGAAATGCCAGAAGATATGTCAGAATATATGCCAGAAGATATGTCAGATAGAATGCCAGAAGATATGTCAGAATATATGCCAGAAGATATGCCAGATAGAATGCCAGAAGATATGTCAGATAGAGTGCCAGAAGATATGCCAGATAGAATGCCAGAAGATTTGCCAGATAGAATGCCAGAAGATATGCCAGATAGAATGTCAAATAGAATGTCAGAAGATATGTCAGATAGAATGCCAGAAGATTTGCCAGTAAGAAAATGTATAAATGTCATGGTGGGGATCACACGAAGTAAAGTAATTTTTTTTTAATTGGGTTTTACCCATGAAAATTTGGTTTTACTCGAAATTCCATGATTTTCCCCATGAAAACTTCCTTCCATTTCGTTCTGGGATTTAGCAGCCACGTTGGATGACATGTAACCGTTGCGGCTGTTTTTCATCAGGGGGGAACCATTTAAGTTACGAAATGACTATTGGGGAAGTACCCCCCTAGTTTTTCTAAACTATTGTAACTATGGTTTATTAATCCCGGGTTGACATTAACAATGACAATGATGACAATGATATAGGAAGAACCATTAATCCATTCCGAATTTAAAGTTCTAACCACAATCTCTGGGGGTATGGTGTATTATATATTAGTGGAAGGGTGACGTCAGATTCAGATGAGTTATAACATGTTATAACTTCCTCACAACGACGTCATGACGTCACCATAGATGGTGGTTTGTAAGGGAAGCCACCCCAAAATCACCAAAATTCAGCCAGGTAGAATTTCACCAGCTTCAATGATCACTTAAAAAGCACTTAGGATGATACAATTCTGTATATATATACACATTATATATACATATATTTCTTATATATATATTATATCTTATATATATATATTATATCTTATATATATATATGTCTATTATATCTTATAGATATATTACAATCTATATATACCTTATATATATGTATATATATCTTATATATATATACATATTATATCTATACACCCATTCTACAGTACCTACTTTTAGGATCGTTTCTTTTTGTGGATGACCAAGGTTGCAAGGACGAACAACTCTATGTAGTCTCTGTAAGTCAAGTGAAACTCAAAATACGGTCAACAAAATTGACAGGCAAGGTTAGAACCGATAGTTAGCTAAGTTGCTTTGTAGCGAGGGTTTAACAGTTTATAGCAGTTACTTCTATACTTAGTAGGGTATATAAATCAAAACCAAGCTGAGTTGCGCAGTCCAAAAATCTGTCTGGCCGTGCTCTGATGATAGTTCTGCTGAGTTGCGCTGATCAACATTGATCATCATTATGGTATGGGTTGGTTATACCATGCTTAGCATGCCAGTTTCCTACAGAAATCGCACTTGCATGACATAGAAAAAAAATGTGTCAGATCGACAGGTTTTCAGAGATCGATGACAGGTTTTCACAGTTTTTTTTTGTGGTACCAACTTTAAATATCTTCAATGACATTAATAAGTTAGGCCTTTTTTTTTGGTCAAAATTAACCAGAATTTCCGGTGGATCCGACTGTCACTGCCTTTTTGAAGATGACGGTCGGTCGTGGGAAGACCACGGTGAACATCCAGGAGTTTCTGTGATTTGATGAGATTGGTTGAATGAAATCACCCAAAGAATCAAATGAAAAAATCAGTTGGTTAAATCAATCTAGTTATCAAATATTGGTTGAATTAATTAACATTAATTAACACTAAGATGAAAATCATATTAATCACCTTCCCAAAATATGAACCACTCCCCAGAAACCATGGTTTTTATATAGAGGATTTACACATCAAATCGGGGCCACAAAAAATGGTGTTCAACGTTGAAGATTAGGGCGGAATTCAATTTGACAATGGATGTCATAACTTTGATTTTACCACATATTTAATGGATTTTAATGGATTCAAATGGATTCAAACAGGGAATGCATCCTCTTGAGGCCCGGATTTGCCGCTTAGCTCGAGCTGCAGAATTCCCGGGCTTGCGAGCGAATCGCTCGCCCGGAGCAGATACGTCTGGCATAGAGCCATGAAAAATGCTGATATAATCTGATATACATGGGGGTATTAAATAGATTTAAATGGTATATAGTGGTATATGTGAAATGTGATGAAAAAAACATCAAGATTTTGGATATTAAATGGTATATGAAATGTTGCTTGTATGATGTAGAAGGTGGTGAGATGGGTTGATACACTAACGTGTTCCTGACCACCTTTTTACCGTAATACGTAATACTGCGTTTTGAGGATAGGAACCCCAAGGATCTTCGGTTAAACAAATCAAAGGTCTCCTTCAATACATATATATATATATATATTGATATATATATATATATACATACACAACATATATCACACACAATTTATGTATATGCATATGTACCTGTATGATATGTACATATATATATACATATTCATACATACAGATGCTTCAACCACTCCATTGAGCCATGGCTGGCTTGTCGTCCATGCTTTCGCGCGGCATATCTCGACGCCAACTTTCCTCGCTGCAGAACCAATGCGAGGCGCTCGAGCGTGGCATCGAAGAGGCTCAAGCGAAGAGACTGAGGTGTTGGACGTGCGCGGAACGGCAACGCTCAGAGGCAGCTGAAATGGACCCTCAGATGCAGATTATGAAAGGTGAGGCTGATTCTCGATGATTATCATAGGTGAGGCTGTATCTAGGTATAATTTTGGGAACTATAGGTTGGATATCATCTAGAACTATGCTATAACCATAACTATAACTTCCATAAAGTTGGATATCATCTCTATGACTATGCTGCTATGCTATACTATGCTCATATGTCCAGTTTTTTTTGAACTAGAACTACACCCCCAAGTAGCAACCCCAACAAGATGCAACATTTATAAAGTTTACACAATTCCAAAAAAAGTTAGATTAATCATCATTTTAGCAGGGTTTTACTTTTCCATCTTTTTGAGCTTTTTAGGGTGTTGCTGGCAGCTGTTTTTTTTTTTCTGACTGTCATCATGTTTGGTGTTTTGTTTCAAACTGTTGGTAACAAAACCCGTGAACTCTGCGCAAGGTGATATTCATAGATCATATACCCTCTGGTTATTTAACAGTTAGCTATGGTATAGATGGCCCATAGAAATAGATGATTTACCTATTAAAAATGGTGATTTTCCATGGCTATGTTACATAACCAGATGGCAATACTCACAATATGGTCTAATATGTAGTCATTGAAAATCAATATTTTTTTAATAGGTAAATAGCCATAAATCATTTATAAATGGACCATTTCCAATAGCAAACTGTTAAATAACCAGAGGGTAAATGTAGAGATCCCGTTACTACAATGATGCGTTGTGCATCATTTCTGTGCAGTCATTTGACTTCTCCTGCAGACCTTTGTGCCCTTGGCTTCGACACCTGACAAACTGTTTTGGGTTTCGGGATATCATCTAGATCAATGGATTGGTTTAAGGGAAAATCTTAACCGGAAACCATAGATTTTCCCATTAAATATGTGGCTTTCCTGTAAAATTTCCCTTAAACCAATCCATTGATCTAGGAAACAGTACTTCAGTATCTATCATAGTTCAGTGTTGTTGAATCCTGAAGGGCTCTGCTACCAGTGCATTCCAGCCAAAAAGCAAACATCTCATCTGCGGCACGGTGAGCACATCAATGGTGATCCTTGATGGCCTTGTAGACAATGGTCGGGATGAAGATAGGGTTATAGTAATGGCAAGAGGATTTTTAAATCCTTGGACCAACTTAGAAGTTTGATTAATTTTAAAGATATATCATCTGTGTTACCTAAAATTTGACTGTCATTCCACAGAATTTCACAATCCACTAACAGTCAGCCATTGTAAAATTCATCGCAATTTTTGATATTTGACCGCTGCACTTCCACTCTGTAACGTACCCACGTGAAACATCAGTCATATAATTTTTTCCTGGGGTATAATATATATATATATATATATACGTGTTTTTGGCCCCCAAGATAGCGTTCAGTTGTCTTATAAGTGGCTTTCTTTCTATGGTTTATGGATATAACGAACTATAGTATCTGGTCGGTGGTTTGGAACATTTTTTATTTTCCACAATATATGGGATGTCACCCTTCCTATTGACGAACTCATATTTTTTCAAGATGGTTTTTTAACCACCAACCAGATAGTATTCATGGGGTTTATAAACCAACATTCACAAAAAATGGGGCACCACCCGATCCCAGGAACTTTGCCTCCAACGCTTTCCGCCGATCGCCACCACGTCCGTGGAACCGCCGCTCGCTGCGACGCGGCAGCGCTGCGAGGCGCTGACGACGGAGGCGGCGATGGAAAGCGCATTCTTGGACGAGGCGCGGATGGAAATGAAGGAGATGCAGCTTGGCCAAAGCGGATTTCCGGAAGGGATTTCCATGGTATTTTAGGAATTCAATTTGTAAATGGTTGATGAAAATATGTGTGTATATATATATATATACACATATTGGGGGATTGGATACTGGGGATGATATGTATAATATACCATATCCTATACTCCTCAATGACTGTTGGTTGATGGTTATTGGGAGCTTATACTATTCAATATATTTGGGATTATAACATAACCTATGAAATGGGAAATCCGTTCATAACCAACCAACATTTCATGGGACAGAGGGCTTTTGAACACGGCCCAATTTTTTCGGCCTGAGCCATCCATATCTCTGCTGATGGGAAAAAAGGGTTGGGACTTATACTGGCTTATTTGGGATTAGGAACCAAACCATGGGGATATTTATTAACCAACCAGTTTTTGATGGGATAGGATAGCGGTATGTTTCAAGGCGAAAATGGTTGAGGAGTGCTGCATTTAAGACACCCCTGTTGCTTAAGATGATTTTAGAAGCATTCTATCAGGACTTACACACTATTCATAGAGGACTCTGTAGTTGCTGATGATGTTTTTGGTATTTTTCTTGTCTTGGGACAGTAATCGGATCATGTACAGTTAAGGAGGGAAAGATGGTGCTTTGTGGTGTACGGCCAATACTTGAGATGGCCATGAAATAACATGAGAATTCTTCGATGGGCCTTGGAGTTGCTTTGCCATGAAATAACATGAAAATTCTTCGATGGGCCTTGGAGTTGCTTATATTTTTAGGGAAGCCTACCATCACTGGGAATAGAATGGGGCATTTACCCTCTGGTTATTTAATATAGTTATGGAAGCCATGGCCCATTTACAGATGATTTTCCCAGCTAGAAACCTCCATTTATGGTTGGGATTTTCCATGGCTATGTTAGTCATAACCAGAGGGTAATCATCAAAGAAAGTAAAATGGCCTATTTATAGATGGTTTACCGAACTTAAAAATGGGTGGATTTTCCATGGCGAACTGTTAGTCACAACCAAAGAAGTAACCATCAAATGAGGATTGAAATCATCAAGTCGATGGTATGATAGGTAAATCTTCGAGAAATTAGGCTTCCGTGGGTTCCTGGAAGCCGTGCCTATGGAAGCCTGGGGGGCTTGTGGGTGAAAACAGCTGCACCGGTTATATATAGCGGTATACCCCCAAAATGACGGTAAATTCCAAAGTATTTTAAATAAGGAATCTGTTTTCGGAACATGGTGATTCGTGAGGATATGATAGGATATGATAGGATATGGATATGTGGATCATACCCGGTATGTCATAGCCCTGCTTTCAAATCAAGATTCAGCTAGTTCATCCCCCCTTTCTATCCAACTCTTCGAGACACATCGGGCTGGTAGTAGAGACATGCCGGAACATGCCGAAGCCAATCCCATACGTTTCCCATGGGTTTCCTGTGGAGATACCATGACCGAAAGATGGTGGGAGTCCCTGAAACACTCATAAAAAACCCACAGAAATTACTGGGTCAATCGAGTGGGGAATGGTTGGCTAGTGAGCTAGTGGGTCAAATTCCGCTATGAACTACTTGGATTACGGGGCTTGAAGAAAATTGTCATGGGTTAGGTTTGTTTAGTTATTTTTTTTCTCTCCCGCATGTACAATCCACCAGAAATTGCCGGAAATAAGGAATCCTTGGGAAATATCGTTATTGTACGCTTTTTGGGAACCCTTTCAGAAAATCCAAGGTTATCAGTTATAATCGGAAAAATGTGGTTGATCTTTGTGATATGCGTGAGTCAGGCTCTTTTTTGCAATGCACAGGCTGCACGGGTCAGCCTTTGTGGCTGGGGTGTGGCACTAGATGTTTTTGCACCTATAGGTAGCACTCGTAGGGTATCAAAGATACAGTACCTCCGAACCAAGGCCATAGTTGCCATAGTTGCTTCGCATTGACCACAATAAAGGCACTATATAAAGCTTTTTGCAGAATCAAAACGAATATACGTTTGTACATGGGAATGGGTCTGGCTACCCTGTAGCCCTGGTTATCCAAAACGCATCGAAGTAGCGCTCGTATTTACAGGTATTGATCCATAGCCATATGATATAGCCTCTGGTAATGAAAAACATGCCAATTGAAAAATGACCCATGGAAAGTTCTGAATGATTTTCCCATTAGAAATGGTGATTTTCCAGTTCGTTATGTTAGTTTACCAGCCCATTGAAATAGATGGTTTACCTATTAAAAATGGTGGATCTTTCCATAGTTTTTTGTATGTTTACCAGAGGGTAAATTCCAAAATTTATGCAAATCTGAATGCATTGCATTGACCTTCTTCAGTGTTGTCGCTGGAATGATGATCGCTACGGGATTTGTCATTCGCACATGGCCTTGTTTCAGCTATTTTCAGGGTTGTGAATTAGTATAATTCAGCCAGACATATATTACAGTACGTACACACAATTTACAGTATATAATATAATTCAGCTAGATATAGATAGATCGGTCGATATTTATATATATATATATATTATACATACATATGTATTCCAAGAGTCTTTTTGCCGTTTCCCATTTTGAAATGTGGAATGCCGAGTGGCCGACAACAGCGTCATGGTGAGGCAAGCACTGCAGGAGAAGTTGAAGAGAATGCAGCAGGAGGAAATGCAACAGAAACTGGACCTGTTAACTTTACAGTAAACTAAGATGGCAATGGAAATGGACCATAGAAAGTTCGATGATTTAGCTATTCAAAATGCTTCTTTTTCAGTTCGCAAACTGTTTGTTTACCAGAGGGTAACTATCCAGTGGTTGAGAGGGAGCTGTGGAGCTATATATAGGGTTTCCATAAATAAGGTATCCCCAAAATAGATGGCTTATAGGGAAAACTCCATCTATAAATGGATGATTTAAAATGGATGATGTAGGGGTACCCCCATTCTAGGAAACCTCCATATATAATATGTAATTATATATATATATACACATTCCCAACAAATGCGGACTGTGGAGCCAAGGAGCTACTAATACGCGGTATGTAAATGGAAAACCGCGTTCTTTTCCTGGGAAACCATCCACAAATTGACCTAAACAGTGGAGTTTTCTGGTTTATGCTGATCTACCCTAGGGCAAACGATATATACTTGTGTTTGTGTGCGAGCAGAAATCCACCCTAGGGAAACTGAGCCGTAGAGGAATGCTGATGCAAACCAAAAATGGTTGTTTCCCACTGGTTAGTTGCTTGATAGAGGACCAATCATCCATTGAATGGGTATATTCATAGTTCTAGATTGCTTTTTCCCAAACTATCTGTCTATTCATCCCAAAAAGAACATCACAGATTCAAACCAAAAAACTGTGGTAGTTACTGTACAAGGCAGGATCATTCTGCATTAGTGCCTTTGATTTTTGCCACCCGCGATTCTTTGAGACACGCAATCTTTATGCGACCCATTGGCGAATGGAATTTTTCCGAGGTCTCACAATGCCATGTACTGTAGATGGGTGTCTCTGATGAGTTTGAATATGGGCCGCAAAATCGCCATGGCTATTATACTATGAAGGTTTCTTAAAATAGGGGTACCCCCAAATCATCCATTTCAATGGGAATCTCCCATAAAAAACCATAAAAAACACCCCGAAAAAACGGGTCAATCATATCTTACAGTGGCCACTTTTAGCTTTCCCCAATGTTCAGATACCAATTTTCCATGCAACGATTCGCTGAAATTTGACTTGTGACCCGCTGACTCGCTGAGGAGACGTGAGATTCAAACTTTGTCACAGCAACTTTCATCCGACCTGCGCTCCTTGGAGAGCGAGAGGCAGACATTGATGGAGGAGGAAACTCAGCAAGTGGATTATTCCAATATCCAATTAATGTGTTTTTTTTGTATGGTCAGGATATGGCTATGGGTCAAAACTTAGGGCCTTTGAGCCATAGATTTTTGATGATGTTTGTAGATGTTGGTAGTAAAATTCGTAGTAAACTCCATTTCTTGGTAGTTTGACCCATACCTGCCCATAGGCCGGGAGTTCTGCCAGATGTTTTCTCGATCCTCAAGCAAAAAAGAGTCTCAAGCAAATTTATAGAATTTTGGCAAGCCAGGTCTAGCCTATTTTGTAGTTGTATATGTTGTATGAAATTCGCCACAGATTCCCTGATTTTTCTGCCTTTTTTCCTCTACCGACTCGTGGCTGTTTCGCCGTTGGAAGAGGTGGATAGGAGTCGTCCCCTAGGAACTCCTTCAAGAGGAGTTTCTGATGAAATCACGAGAGACGCTGGAAGAACGAGACCGCGAGCTGGCGGAAAGCAACTCGGCGGAGACCATGGATGGAGCTTGTGATTGGTAATACAACTTATCTAACCAACAAATATTAGGTGTTTTTTTTGCAAATGGGTTTTAACAACCAGCCTCTTTTGTGTCCACTACCTTTTCTGTTTGTATTTATAACTGATATTGTGCGACAATTGTAACGGAAATTCGTTTTGACCAAAGTGACCAAAGTCTGATGTGTGTGTTTTTCCCCTGAAGTCCTGAACTCAAGCATTGAATCATTGAGTTATCCAATGACGTTTCCGCCTTACTATGTTAAGGCAATCGGGATGTTGCTGATGATTTTACCCCGATGATTTGCAGGTTTCCAACTTGTTCTACCCTCCGATCATCAAGCATGGCAACTGAAAATCCATATATATATATATAGATAGATAGATAGATAGATATTTATAGATGATCTTATGATCTTCCCACTAAAATCCACTAAATTGTTCTAGGGAATTTTCCACTGCCACGTTTGAAAAAAGAGCCAGGGTGCTTCCAGCGTTTCGTGGGATTCGTCAGCCAGAGGCAGTGCCTATTGGGAGGCCGTGCCGTTCCTCTCCAGTGAAACCGCTTGGGTGGAGGACTGGCAGCAGGACCTGCAAAGGCAAAGACGTGAGCTGTCACAGCTGCAATCAGAGCTGACACCTGGGCTGAGAACCCGGTGACTTCCCAAAAATTCATGGTTATTTGTTACATAGCCATGGAAAATGATGGCCCATAGAAATAGATGGTTTACCTGGGTTTACCTATTAATAGCATGGTGATTTTCCATAGCGAACTGTTAAATAACCAGAGTATAGATGAACAGCCGCTCAGAACCACAGTGCTGTTTTGTGTTTTTCTTTTATATGTGGAGTTGCTGATAGTTGCTGTTGCGGTGTTGTTTGGTGAATTTCTGGACTGGTGCATCCACGACTTGTGGAATCTGTTGTGAAGATATGATGTTGAAATACAGCTATACTATGTGTTGGTATATGATGGTATATGTATCATATATATATATAATATGTTATACCTGCCTCTTCAAAAGGTGCTTAATTTCTGCCTTTTGCTCAATAAATAGGTTTTGCATAAGAACGACCTCTTTGGGCAGACCAGAATTTCTTCTGATATATTGATGCCAAACCCGATTTTCTGCGGCGAAAATGCCCGACCAAACGGCGAAAGTACGCGACCACGTGCTCTGACAATTTCTCACAACGGCATTTTTTTTCAGGAACGGCATTTTTCGGCAAGAACGGTAACAATTCTATATAGTGTTTTTGAGCAACGGCAGAAATAAGTACCATATGGAAGATCCAGGTATGTGTATCTATATTTTTTGTTGTATTTATTTATTAAACTATGCTTTCTTGTAGTGTTATATGTACATATACATGCATATACATACATATACATACATATACATACATATACATACATATACATACATATACATACATATACTGTGTTTCACGTATATTTGTTTGGCAGGGGCTTTGAGGGTCCCTAACCCAATCCAAGGACAATGGCAGAAGAAGTTGCTGCTCTCAAGGCGTCGGCTGAGAAAGAGCAGCAGAGACCTGGATGACTCGGGAAGTGCGTCGTGCGGATATTGTGGGATAAGAATTGGATATTGCCCTCTGGTAATTTAACGTAGCTATTGAAAATGGCCATTTATAGTAGATTTTCACATTAAAAATGGTGATTTTCCATAGCTATGTTAAATTACCAAAGGGTATGGGATATTGTGGAACAACATGAGATAATATTGGCAGTCCCCATGAAACCAGAAATGTCAATTTATCGGGTTCGTGAATTGCTGGTTTGTTGAGGTAAATGAGTCTGAAACTGTCTGACATTTGATTCAGCTTGACTGAGCCAGTTGATCAGTTGGTAGGTTTTATTGGGAGGGAGGTCGCCGTGGAATCTAGGCTCCGAGTTGGTTGATGATTTGGTCGGATCCTTGATGTCGACATCATATCCCTCTGGTAATTTGTTAACAGTTTTGCTATTGAACATGGCCATAGAAATAGTGGATTTACCCATTGAAAATGGTGGATCTTTCCATAGTTTTTTGTATGTTTACCAGCGGGTAAGAACCTCCCCTCAAACTCAAAAGGGTCACACATACTGTTGAGGCCGAATTTAGCTCCGCGGGAATCTGAACACTAAGTCCTTACCAACGAATCGCTTAATTGAAAAAATGAAAGCACATACATATTTTTCATCTTACTATTGCCAAACAAATTGCCTAAAATCAAATGGATACATAACTTTTTTTTGGGATCCTTTTGGTATTGCTGAACAAATTGCGCAAGTGAAAACGGATTTACACAAGTGTCGTGTTGGGATCCTTTTGTGTCGGTGAACAAATTGCCCAAGTGAGAACGAATACATATCATATTGAGAAAACTTTTCTTTGGCTTTTTAGGAAGATCCCATGAATTGGAATACTTTTTTTTGGGGGCCACCACTTTATTCAGGGATTGACGTAGCAAAAGTAGTTTACTTAAAAAAGGTGATATTGAAAGTTAAGTATACGCACCCGACATTTTCAACAGAAACAAACTGAACATAATGGCCATGGTATAGATGGCCCATTTATAGATGGTTTACCTATTGATAGCATGGTGATTTTCCATGGCTATGCTAGTCATAACCAGATGGTAACTTGGATCTTAAGGGATGTGGTTCCAGAAGGCGGTTCAAGGCTACCCCCTTCTCGCGCGATTTAGTTTTTTTTGCATCTTGTCTTAGAATGAGGGACTAAGAGTGAAATCGATCAATTCAGATCTTCGTTTTTTTTTGAATTCAGTAGTTGCTTTGGAGGGGAAACGGGTAGCAAAGTAATTTACTTTGAAGGGGACTTAGAAAGCTAAGTATATTCACCTGAAATTTCCACGGAAAGAAACAACACTTACCTTATTTTGGGTCAAATCACAGCTCAGCTATTTTGGTTCCGAGGTGGTTCAAGGCTACCTCCTCTGCACGATATTTTTTGCATTGTTGAATAAGGGACTAGCTAATGGAGAAACCAGGTGGTGCCGTGCCCGAGATGGTCCTCCACAACCCGACCCACACGAACACAGACTGTCCTCCATGACCTCCGCAAGGTCGCATCGGTCCTATGTATCTTTTGGTCACTGTGCAGCCTGCGAGAAGACTCCCATCTCAGTCGCATCTCTTAATGGACAGATCAACCTGGAGAGGCCCAAAACAAGGCTGGCACCGCTTGGCTCAAGCGAGACACACTGCCTACATTGCTGTGACCAAGCGTCCAAAACAAGGCTTCGAGAGAAAAAGGACCCGAGAACATCGCCAGAACATGTTCTGCACGTAGATTGAGGTAAAACAGAAGTTAATTTCAGAGAGCCGTGGAAGGACAACCTATCAGAATTAAATCCCGGTTCAATTCTTTCTAACTCCTGTATTTACCTTCTTCCCGTATACACATGTGTATATATATAATATACACATGCATGTAAGTTGGCGTTTTGCAAAACCAATGGGAATCCAATCATCAAAACCAAGCATGCTAACTTGGGGATTTTCAAAATCCTGGATTTCCCTAGGGCAACCCATCCACAACCTAACAGGTAAATTTGAATTGTTGTAATCCCACTTATAGCAAGTGTTTCGACCATGTTCTGAAACATATGACATACCCCACATGCTTCGCAACGGGTAAAACCGGCATATGTGTTCAGTCTATCACACGACAGAACCCATTTACAACCTTTTGCAACTCATAAATGACCAGATCATGTTTATTTTCCGCGAGAAAGCGGTGGAAAACCAATGGTTACAAAGGAATAGGCCTCAAATATATTCAACAATGGCGCACCAACACTCGCAAAGTGGTTGTTTTTACATATTTTTAGTTTTTATGATCAATCAAAACATCAAGTCTTTAGTGCCACTTATTTTGACTTTGGCCCATGTCCAACTTGGTTGGGACCGGCAGGGATTTGGCAATTAATTGGCCGCCCAGGACACTTGGTCTGTGGTCGGCGGAACTTCAAAGTCCGAGCCCTTCACAGCCAACGTCTCCACGAGATGTGGCAAAACTGCTGGCGACCCATGCGCGTCTCAAAGAAGATGCTGGGATTAATTTTTGCCTTAGGGATTCTGGCTCGAGTCCAGCAACCCCAGCTGGTGGAGGTTTGACCATGCTTGACCCACAATTGGGAATTGGGAATATCTTGGAAACAGTTGCAAATACCCGACAATTTCATGGAAACATATAGAAACCAAAAACTTAAATCCCATGTTTTGAGCACTTCATGTGGACGTTGTGGAGAGGGGTTGAACAAATCATCAACCCATGAATCTACTCAGACCTGCTTGGTACTGGGATGAACATCTCAGGAAATTTTCATGAAACCTACAAGTGAACACACTGTCCAAAATCCTTCCTGGTTAATGATTAATTGTAGGTGATTATACACACCAATATATGGGGGAATGTCACAATCCAACATGGGAATCTCTATCAACCAACCAATATAGAGGGAGGACAAAAGGTTTTGAACACTGTTCAAATACGTTTAAGAGATTGATTTTCGAGTTGAACGAACCAAATATTCAGCCAAAAGTTGGGGGATAGAATTTTCAAGCTGGAGTCCTTCAGCCCAACCATGTTTGTGAGGATGGCACTGTGTGCGGTTTACGGGTGTACACACCATCCTGCTATGAAATTTGCAACTACTTTCTAGATATGCCCATGACTGCAATAGTTGTTTATACAGATTCACCCTGCACCTTATAGTTTATTCTACGCCGGGACCTCGCTTTCTTTGTAGGAACACCCCAGTTTTAAGTCGCTTCATAACACCATCTAACTAATCTGAGATATTTGCCACAGACCCAAGAGTTAATTAGCCTACTGAAATTCACCAACTTAGAGTCATCTGACTGAAGAATTAGCAACCATAGAGATCATCAACAATTGAACCAGGGCTAAGCCATGAGTCATTGGGATTTTCTCAGGATGTACACACTTCTATTTTTTTTTGGATCAACAGACTGATTGTATAGTCATATTGGGGGATGATGATACCACCATTCAATGGATTGGTTTTGTTGGGAAAATCTAGTCTTAACCGGAAACCAGAGTTATTTTCCCATTCAAAAAATGGGATAAATAGGGGTTTTCCTGTAAAATTTCCCAACAAAACCAATCCATTGAACCAGTGAAAACGGGGACTTTTTTTTGGGCCGAGACGGATTCCCATAGTAGGACGACCAGGATACGAACCAGGACGAATATGGGATGGATTTTTTTCCAAGATACCATGCACAAACCATAGAAATTTGAAATAATTATACAGATACTCATTGGTAATCCGACGTCCATTGGGCAGGATGATCTTTATGAAAAATTGTATGTATTACACCTTTATCTTCCAGTTACCTGTCAGATAGGTAACCAATCCCCAAATCATAGGGTACCAGGTACCAATTAGCCTGGTTGCCTATCTCGGAGGTAACTAGAAGTGATCATTTTCAGACAAGCCCATGAATATCCCCTTTCTAGATGGTTGAACATATCTTTTATTGTTGCTTGCATTATCATGTATTAGAATTTATTATCAGTATCAGCATCAATCATCATCTATCATCATGTATGACATTGTATTACCATTCATGAATTCATTTCTATATTTCAATATAAACTTAAGCTTTTCTGAGTCGGTGTTTTTGTTCATGTCCCATTGGTGCCTCCACCCATTGCCCATGGGAATCCACCAGAAACGGCCCAGGACCTAGCACGACTCCAAGCACAGGCTGTCGACATCGATACGCACCGGGCCCATCCGAGAGACGACGGTCTCAGCCGTGTGCTGGCGGCCACGGGAGCGCGGACAGTGGAGAACATGAGCTTCGGCGCCAGCTGGATGGGGTAGAGTAATGATACTGTGGATGGAAGAAATCCTGCACCACCTGGGATGGTAGAAAGCCTGGAAATAATGGGATAAACCACCTATGAACTGGTGCAGGATTTCTTCCATCCACCGTACCATGCTATCCAAACATTCATAGATTTGGGGATCATTGGGTTTTCTTTGTGGGATGTAGACTAATCATGGAAATTGAAGATACCAAATATTTGACTTCAACCTGTTTGTATTGGAAATGAGTTGGCCCACAAAGTGATTTGGGTGGGACTGTGTGTTTTGGGGCTGCCCTTGAAACCATGAAGCCATGAAAATCTGGTGTGAAGCATGGTGATTTGGGGATGGCTCTTGAATTCAAGGATGAAGAGTCACGATTTATCCTTTTTTTTCTCCAAGAAGTGTGTCCACACTGGGGGGTCCTTACGGTAAGCGTAAAGGCCGGTGCTTGATCATGGTGCTCACTCTGGGCGGCGGCATTTTTAAAATTTCCGTATGAAGTGGCTCTTGTGAAATCTTGACATGCGTTTCGACTGCTCAGGCTCGCACAAAGTGTGGGTCGCGGTTCTGGCGAGCGGCATTTTTCCTGTAAATTTCTGTATGAAGCGGCTTTTGTGGCATGTTGATGTGCATTTCGACTGCGCCGGCTCGCACAAAGTGCGCTTCCCGGTCTTGGGATCAGTCTTCCTCCTCAACATCATCCTCCTCAACACCATCATCTTCCTCTTCCTCAACATCAACATCATCATCTTCCTCTCCCTTGACATCATCATCCTCAACATCATCATCGTCCACCTCACCTTCCGCAACATCATGATCATGCACCTCATCCTCCGCAACAGTATCATCCTTGGCATCCCCCTCCTCAACATTTTCATCCTTGTCATCCTCCTCCTCAACATTATCCTCCTCAACATCATCATCTTCCTCCTTCTCTACATCATCCTCCACCTTTTCACCTTGCACTTCATCTTTTTGCATCATCATCATCACCATTACCATTACCATCATTAACATCATCATTATCATCATCATCGTCATCACCATCATCATCATCATCATCATCATCATCATCATCATCATCATCATCATCACCATGATCACCAACATCATCATCAACATTAAAATCATCACCACCATTATAATACATTATCCTTTTTGCTCCCCCCACACTGTTTGGGGTCTCTTGCCGGGATAATTTTATTTTTTGATAGTGATTCGATGGGGATTTGTCATGATTCGTCCTTTATCTACCTTAAACTTCAATTTGCATCTTCGTTTTCTTCAAGTGATTTTAGAGCAGAAACATTGTACGAAGATTGAGATCATCAAATCCACCGAAGTATCTTGCATCATCTTGTTGGTTTATGCACCCCATGAATATGATTTTAGTCATGACATCCCGATGAACCCGCCTAGTTAACCGATAGAAACTTTAGATCATTCAAATTCCTAATAGAGACTGACCGCACAGACTTTTTCGAGGGCCACCCAAGAAAATACCTGGCTATTCGCGCAGCCTGTGCGAGGAAGGAGGTGCTGAAACAGAATTTGCTGCTAATGCAAGAGCTTCAGGAGACACTCACAGAGAGTTCCTGGGAGCCGATTGGATGGGTGAAACGAACCACTGGAGGGATAGGGATTTTACCGCCATCAAAGAGTGGGGTTGAACCAACAGAATATGGAGAAACCAACTGGTGACGGGTAGTCTAGTAGCTGAACCTTTTGCCCTGAGCGGTGAACTATACTGAGCAACCAGCTTGAATGCTATTAGGGTATCAAGATTGGCAACGGATGTGAGTGAAGAATTTGGAGCTTCAATGGATGGGTGTTGCTGGGTAAAAGACATGCTATGGAACATCTGGACAGATTCGGTCGCGATACAGATCTAGATGCAGATCAAAAGATATAAACATGTTTTGGGGGATGGGTAAACACCAATTGTCAGTCCTTAGCTCCGTTGTTAGTTCCCAGTAATTACAGTTGTGTTTCTTCGGAGAAGGGCGAAGACAAGATGCCATTGAACCTTCGATTTTTTTGGTGTGGGCCATGTCTGACGCATTGATGTGGCTTAAATTAAGTGTCCCCAGGCATTGGGATATTTCTTTTGACTGACAAGGAACATCAATGATCAATTGTGTAGGTCGATTGATGGTTCACTGGTGTTGTTTTGCTGAGCCATAGCACAATGTTGACCCAGAATTGTGAAACCGTATCTAGGTTTATTATGTCTAGGCCAATTTTAATGGTGGTTAACTTGTAAGGGTCACTATCCAAAAAAATATAAAAAATGAAGTCGGTGGATACTTTTTATGTTTCGGGGGTAATCATTACATTTATTTTGATTATTATTATTATCCCATTCACACTACATATCCCTATTATTATCTATTTATTGTTTCCAAAACCCTTACTATACTTTCGCTGACTCTCGTTTAACTTTTCATTGGTACACATATTCCAAAGTATGTTCTCCAAATGACGGAACCATATTGGTTGGTCTTATAGTTGGGTACCCCAAACTCCAATGGTTGATTGTTATATTTCTATTAAAACATGATCATTTTGGAGGCCCCCCCCCATTTTTAAGACAAATCCATATAGTGTGACGATCTCTGAGGAAAGCTTCGTTGTGACAAGGAGGCGAAGCTCCGGCGTGCACTGGACCGCCGCCTAGACGAGCTTTCCCGCGCAGGAAAAAAAAACGGTCAAAATCACCGCGAGTCTCGCGGGCTGAGCGGGGAACGCTCAGTAATTTGGGGATGAATGGGTGTTTAATGGTATTTAATCGAAGGAAGTTTAGAAGTCAAACTTCCGACAATATGGACAGATGAAAAGCAAAGCTGGGAAGTGTCAGAGAAGAGAAGAGAAGAAGAGAGAAGATATCAGAAAAGAGAAAGAGTCAGAAGACAGAAGATGCAGGTGCGTGAAAAGGTCGGAAAGTCGCGAAAAACTGTGTTTTTCCAATGATTTGTGGCTCCGGAGGGTCGAAAGTAGACTCGCTAAAGCCGCGGGTGCGGAGCCATGTGGTCAGATGAGAGATGAAAAATTGCACGCCGTTGTGTTCAGACCACTTTTGGAAGTTGAGATGTCGAAAAAGTGCACGCCGTTGTGGCGCGAAGCACATTTCGAAGTCAAAAGTGTAAGAAACGGGGTGGTTCGGATCACTTTTGGACGTTCAGATGTCGTTTTGCGTGGCAGGCGCAAGGGATTATGCATTGTGATCTATGCACCTTGTCAAAAGTGAGGAAAAAACGTGAAGGTTTTGTAGCATTTCCTAAAACGATAGCAGGCGTGTGACATATGCAGATTATCTGGCAAGATGTCTTTCGCGTGGCAGGCGCAGTACAAGAGACATGTTCATCAGAGCTGTTAGGAGGTCCGGGCGCTGATTTCCTGAGAGGGGTTGCATTTTAGAATATTTTGGAGCATCAGATCTTCAGTTTTGGGAAGATGATTTTGCGTGACAGGTGCAGCACTTCGTATGACCTGGCTTCACTTTTTCGTGGCAGGCGCAATACTGTAGACAGGTGGGGTGGAAACATCGCAAAACGCATTGGTACGAGGCCGTCAGCTCTGCACTCAACTTTCCATTTTTCAAGGAAGTCTCGCAGAATTGCTTCGTTTTTGATGTTGTCAACTTCGAAAAATGAGGAAGTCTCGCAGAATTGTTTCGTTTTTGCTCTTGTCAACTTCGAAAATTGAGGAAGTCTCCCAGAATTCTTTCGTTTTGACGTTGTCAAGTTCAAAAACTGAGGAAGTCTCGTAGAATAGCTTCGTTTTCAAGCTTGCAGATAGACAAATATATAGATTGACAACAACAACTGCAACTACAACTACAAGTACCACTACACTACACTACTACTACAACTACAAGTACAAATATACTACGCTACATTACAAAACACTAATTACACTACACTACACTAATTACACTACAACTACTACTGCTACTACTGCTACTACTGCTACTGATACTACTACAGCAAAAACTACTACTACTGCTACTACTACCACTACCACCACCACAGCTACAACTACAATTACAGCTACACTACATTACGCTACAATACACTAATTAAACTGCTGTACATTACAGCTACAAATACAAATGCAACTACAGCTACACTACATTACACAACGCTACACTACACTAGTTACATTACATTACGCTACAACTGCAACTACCACTACATTGCACTACACGACCCTACACTACAACTACAACTACACTACTTTACGCTACAATGCACTAGACTACACTACACTATACCACGCTACAGTACCCAACACTACAGTACACTACAATACACTACACTAATTACACCACACGACAACTACAACTGCAATTGCAACTGCAACTACACTACACTAATTACACTACATTACAACTACAACAACTGCAACTCCGCTACACTACAACTACACCTGCAACTGCACTACACCACACTACATCCAGCAGTTGTGCTGAGGTGACCACTGCAACCATTGCAACCACTCCAGAAAGCACAACTCCAACCACCTTTCGGCCCATCACGCTCTGCCATCCGTGAATCACAACAACCAACCCTCCCTATAGGCCTCCTATTTTTGAAGCTTCCGCCACCGCCTTGTGCGGTACTACTGGTATCTATTGAGTGTTATTTAGAATGGGTGTTTAATCAACAATAGGGATATAGGTTGGATATTTGATGTGATATCTAAAGGATCAAGAGAATGATGTGAATTAGATTCGGGGAATCATCCCATCTTGATGGGCTTGCGTGACTTGGATAAATATACTAATAACAAATAGTCAACCAAGTAGAAAACAGTCAACTTGTATTATTTATTGTCTTTATTGGTTTGTAGATACCCTCTTGTAAACAAACATAGCTATTGAAAATGGCAATTTATAGTTGATTTACCCATTAAAAAAGGTGATTTTTCATAGTTATGTCAGTTTACCAGAGGGTAAATGATCGACCTTTTTTCGGGTGGTAAATTGGCGATTTGACCTTAAAGGTGCTGGCGGTGAACCCACTGGCGCGTCGTTTCTTTGGCGGCTACAAGGCTGGAAACCTGGGGGCTTGATGAAAAACGAGGCATCCCAACATGACAAACAAACATCATCTAATACCCTCTGGTAAACATACCAAAAACTTTGGAAATCCACATTTTGAATGGGTAAATCAACGAACTAAATGGCAATGTTCAATAGCTAACTGTTAGTTTACCAGAGTGTAGATAGTATACCAAACCGTACCAAACCTATAGTTGGAAAATCCAAGCTTAGATTTTAGGCTTTTTAAAGGGCCTCAAATGCCCAAAACCAATGAATGGTATATAACTGTTCATTATAGGTACCTTTACGTGTTTTGGTAGCATTAAAACACTTAATGACCCTGGTTAAACCAATCTAGTGAGGTACCCCGAAACATAACATGGATGGTCCACAAAAATTTGGCCAGTCTTTGTCATTCAACTCTTCAAATGGCCATGCTGATGAACGGAACATCATGATAATGTATGATAGTTTCCATATGTTGGCGTGATAAATTTTACTGTATCCTATCTTGAGACCTTTGCACCCATAGATGTCCTTTTCCCATTGGTTGGTTGATTAATAGAAAGGTTTGTTTACCTCTTTAACAACAGGCAAATGATGACAGATGGTATACCAAACCGGCCCCTCTATTTTTACCAAAAGGACATTATTGATTGCACCTTTAAAAACTCGTAGGTTGTCACGGCTTTTGAGGGAAAGTTCACAGATCAACCAGCACTCGGCAGGCAACAGACTCTTCCAATGAGGAAATCACCAAGGCTGCTGGGCCCATGGGGCCCACGACCTTGGCAATTCAGGAACGGGGACATCACAATACATTGGTATGTAACATATATAATCATATATTATATGTATATATTATATATATATACATACTTATAATGTTGTAATATATAGATGTATACATGTCTATACAGATAGATTAGAAGAGATTAGATTAGATTAGGTTAGATTAGGTTAGATAGATTAGATTAGATAAGATTAGATTATATACTGTAGATAGATAAGATAATATTAGAAATGATCAGATTAGATTACTGTAGCTAAATTAGATAGAGGTATCTCTCTCTCTATATATATAAATATTGTTTTCACACGTACACTATCACACACGCATATGTATTTTCTTGAAATTGAAGATGTCGGCCAGCAGTTGTCGGTCTGCAAGTTCTCTCGAAAAGTAGATATTCCTCAAGAAGCAGATGGGTGGAAAGAGTGACAGAAACATATATTGCAACTAGCCCAGCTAGCAATCAGACTTCTTTTTGAAATATCCATATTCTTGTCATAGTCTTCTTGACAATTGGAAGATATACCCCAGAAGGTTTCGGAGAACCAGTTCACGTTCAGAGAACCGGCTACCAACCACGAGCCCCCTGGACCCCAGAGCGTTTTGCTCAGCTAGATCTCAGCTAGATTATGTTTTAGCCCCTGAAAGATGGACAAATTCAATCAAGGATGTGACTGCTATGACCCGTATCTTTTCGGATTCTGGCCATTACATTGTGATTGTGGATTGTTGTGTTCGACTCCAAGCCAAGCCTAAGCACGTTCATAAACCCAAATACCGTCAGCCCACGCGGGAACAAATTGCGGCTTTTAACGCCGTGATTGCTCAATACATGCAGGAAACCACTCGTCGTGACATTGGTGTCTTTCTTCAGGTCATTCAAGATGCAGAAAAGCAGTGTTTTACTATATAGTTATCAAGTATGTATGTTCGACTTCTGAACTTACAGAAGTTACTTAAGTTGGTCATTAGCCATAGCTACATTTTCAACTCCTTTCAATTCAGTGCATACACGTGTAAGCAAGTTCAACCAACTGGTGGTTTCTGAATTTCGTCTTTTATGAAAATTTGGGTTAGTGTAATGCACAAACACAGTGAAGCATATCGAATCGAATCGTATGTGTACACGAATCATCAAGTCATTTCGTGGTATGTACTGTATCTGTAGCAGGGGCATGTATACTGCATGGACTGAAAACTTAATGTATATAATTTTTCTTGAAAATATGTGCAAAATTAAAATTCACTAACCATTGTTTCTGGTGGTCTTAAACTTAGAGTATGGGAAGTAGCAACGGTAGTAGCAACAGTAGTAGCAACGTGACTAGCAGTACGAGGACCAGAAACAGTATTAGACTAAAAAAGCAGCATTGGGGCCAGCATCAGTCTTTCAACGAGAAACGGGTATGGATCAGGGGTATGGATCAAGATTATGGATCATGCAGTATATAAAATCCCAGGAACTATTTACAGAATCCCAGAAACTATTTATAGAATCCCAGGAGCTATTTACTGCATTATACTGCTACTGGGGTTTATAAATTTCCAAACTACTGGGTCTATTTATAAAACACCACAAAGTGAGGCCAAAGCAGTCACCAAACCATCTGTCTACAAGAATAGTACGCTTATGGGTTTTGGGCCAGTGCTTGAAGCTACCCCACCTCCGCTGCCTCCACTGCCTCGCCGCCGCCGCTGCTGCCGCCACGGCTGCTGCTGCTGCTGCTGCTGCTGCCACTACTAGTGACCTTCCTCCCAGGAGCTGCTGCTACTGCTGTCGCTTCTGCTGCTGCTCCTTTCCTGCTCCCGCTGCTGGTGCTGGTTCACTTCCTCCGTGTGCTTCTGGTAGTTGGAGACCTGCAACTAGCTGACTAGCTACTAGCAATATTGCAAGTGCACCTTGGAGGCTAGTAAGACCGGTTCTAGTTCCACAAGGTGCTTCTTCTAGTTCTAGTGGCCCTATGATTACACCTCCTTCTGTTGCTGCTCTGCCTGGCAAGTGTAGAACTAGACTAGACTAGAAATACCTCGCTCTTTTCCTTCACAGCCACAGCGGGAAAGCCGGCCCAGATAGCGGGTCCCGATCCATACCCCGATCCATACCCGTTCCATACCCGATCCATACTCGAACCCGGTCACGCCACAACAAATAAATGCCAATATGAAAGTCCGATCGATTACTATTTCTACTGCTGCTGCTACTTCTACTACTACTGCTACTGCTGCTGCGGCGATTCCCACTCCTACCCCTACTCCTACTCCTACTACTCCTAGTACTACTGCAGCAGCTGCTGCTGCTACTATCATTAGACTACTAGTATACTACTAGTATTGTAACTATTACTAGTACTACTGCTTCTGCTACTGCTATTTCTACTGCTACTGCGTCCTCTCCTTCTATTGCCACTACTGCTGCTGGTGCTGGCTTTTTGTTAACTGCTCTACTAGCAGTGGTAACAGTTGTAGCAGCAACAGTAGCAGGAGGAGAGGTAATAGCAAGTAGGTGTATGCTATGATGAGTCCTTACGAAAAAGTACGGATCAGGCATCTTACTTATAAGCACTCACCGCGGAGCGATCCATACCCGATTTTTGACTCGCACCCATATATATATATTATATATATATATATTAGATCTATATGGGACATCAACAGAAAGATGATAATCCTCCGCCTTTCACATCAGGCC